ACCAAATGGTGACCTAAACAGCTAGCTATGTTCATTTCACATGAACAGAAAAAAAAAAAAAAAAAAAAACCTGATGACACGGTTCATTCGTAAAATTGCACCCACCCGTGTAGACCTTCCCACGGGCTGACGAATTGGCCTCGAAGTGATGGCCTCATGACTTTTCATCGCCTCGACGCGGTCGAACTGTTCTCAACCCCCTCATCTGCGACATGCAAAGCAGTTCGATACGTAAGTGCAGACCAGCAAGCACATCAACCTGCCCCCCCTTTATGTTCAGTTAGCCTTTTTAAGATATGACCCCCTTCCAATTTTACGGTGCCAGTTTGCAAGTAGTGTAGACATTATGGATCACTGGCGTTACACACAAGCGGAACGGTGTGTTTGTGTTCGTGTGTATAGGTAGGCGGGGAAGAACGTACGAAATGATCATTCGGGTTTAATTTCCCCAAATACATATTATGCACTACTTGTGAAGGATTATACATTTGAGGTTCCTCCATTAGAATGACATAATGGTGTGCACCCGCACAGACTTATGCCGTATAGAACTTTCGGCTGGGTGTGCATCCTTGGTAATGCGCAAAGGGGGGATATTTCTATCTGAAATTTTTATGAGCGGCAAATTTTGAAGGAGGCCACTCTCAAGCGATGCACAACGCTGTTACTCTCCTGCGCGCCATACATGGGAAAATGTAAAATAGGTGAAACAAAATTGTGGTTAAGTTCACCGCCATTTGAAGGGAGAAATGGGCCAAAATGTGTATTCACGTGATCTCTTCTGTGGAGAGCTAACAAGGAGTATTTCTTTTTTTTTTTTTTTTTTTTTTTAAATCGTGCTGGATTTCTCATCAGCCAAAAGGTTTGCCTTTTGTGTGTGTAGTGATGAAGTTGCCATGGCATCCGCTCATGTGAGGGGTTCCTCCACTTTCGCGGGAGATAAACTTGGCAAGGTACACACTCTGCAGGGAAAGGCGCACGGAGAAAAGCCAAAACGATACCTTCATACAGATATGCAAATATACTTCATATGCATGCACACGTGTGCATGTCCATGTGGAGACGCTTGGTGGGTCCCCATCGCTCTGACGTATTCGCACAGGGCAGAAGCGGTATACTTAAGTGCCCAACTGAACAAGGAAGGGATGTCCGAGACACAAAGCTAATAGAGCAGGCGAAAGTTCAAAAAAAAAAAAAAAAAAAAAAAGTTAACCCCCGTGAGGTCGTGCTTGCTAAGACAATCCGGAAAAGATAAGCGCAGTGAAACAAAACTTAAGCTAAATAATGTGTAGCGGACACAACGTGCGGAACACCCGGCAAACGGGCCACACCCGACTCGAGTTTATTCCTCTCGATCTCCTTTAGGCACCCCCTCCACCCCTCTCTCCCCAGCTGAGTGCATTAGATCATTCCCAGCATCTGGCTTCGCGCACCACACACCCCTTTAAGGCTCGAATCGAGTGACACCGCGTGGGTTACATCTCTAACACATGTGCCTGCACTCACGAATTTCTCTCACACAGGGAGCTTCTACTGCTGCATTCGCCACTTGGCACATGTGCAGAAGTGCCCATTTTCTGTAGTCCTACGCGTGTGCACATTTGTATAGAAATTTGTACGCAGTAAAGCAAGCCTCTGTGTGGAGATGCATAAGTCAGGTCCGCGTGAAAAAAATATGCCCATATGCACTTGCACATGCGTAGGTGTTTGCACATGAACAGGGCAGGCCAGTAAATCAACCAAGAAGTCGATCAGGAAAAAAAAATTTTTTTTTTTTTTTTTTCTCACAAATCTCCAAATGCTCATTTGTTTTTCTGCCATGTATTATTTTATTCCCTTTTGAGAAAGAGGAAATATTTACTTTTTTTTTTTTTTTTTTTTTTTTTTCCCCTTTTCCTCACGTGCTAATAAGATTCGGTATTTTGAAATTCCCCCCTTTTCATTTTTCACGAGCGTATAAGGAGATTTGGTGAATCGGCGAAGAAGCCAAGTGACCCCACCAATTCGCTCCTCATTGTAACTTCCCCATTGGAGGGAGAGCTTACGCCAAACGGGTGATCGAGAAAAAGAGGGGAAGCCAGACGGTGGGGAAGACCACAGGAGTGAAAGGGCATGCCGACCGGCAGGGCAGAGCGGAAGGGACAAATTATGCCCCCCCCCCCCCTGCCTGCCTAACGGAAGAAAGAGGTGGCATATGCATGGTTCCCGCCGTGAGCATATCGCTGAGGATAGAAGCGAGCGGAAGTGGAGAGAGATCTAGGAGGAGATCGGCATATGCGCACAAGTGAGCGTACATTTGGAAGTGCAGTTATACATTTTACTCCATCCGTGATCGTCCCTCGCCGAGACACGCGTGTTAGAGGCGGCCAGCAGAGGCAGACGCTGCGCATAGGAGCATACCCACGTGTGTGTGCTCATTAAGGAGCTAACTTGTGCTGAGCGCGCCGCTTTACCCGTCTAATAACTCCCCCCCCCCACGCATACACCAACGCACATACACAATGAACGAGTCATTGGATATTGAAAATGCCAAGGCGAAGTTGAAGTTGGTGTTTTCTTTCTGGGAGAGTTGTGAAAATAAAAGCTTTTCGCAGAGCAAGGCGTTTTGCGTTTTGTCTGGAAAGTCTAGCAAGGAGGAAAATGCCACGACGCAAGAGCAGTTTCAGATGTGGCTGTTGGGGTACCAACTTACAGAGACGTTTTTTCTGTTCCTGAACAAGGAAAAGTTAATCATTTTAACAAGTGACAAGAAAAAAAAATTTTTGCAGCCGCTATTGGATAGCGTGGAAAATGTACAAGTGATGGAAAGAACCAATGACAATACGGAGAATTTTAATAAAATAAAAAAAATGATTAATGAGGTAGGAACGGAAGAAATAGCTGTTCTGAAGGATAAAGATGCAATGGGCAATTTTTTTGAAAGTTGTTATAATTTTATAAAAGCTTTAGAAATTCCTCAGCTAGATGTGAATACCGATTTGAAATTTTTGTTGAATTTTCGATCCGAGTCAGATATAAAGATTCAGAAAAGTGGGAGTGATATTGCTTGTATTATTTTAAAAAATATTTTAATAACAACTATAGAGAATGCATTAGACAGTGAGGAATACCAGAGCCATGACAAGATAAAGGACAAGGCATTAAAATTTCATGAAAATAAAAAATGTGTTTTGAAGTTGAAGGAAAAATTGAAGGTTGATATAGACGACATAGATGTTATATATAGTAATGTACAAAGTGGAAATGAATTTACCTTAAATTATAAAAATAGCAATAACAAAAGTTACCTGTCCCAGAATGAGGGTACTATACTTGTTGGTGTGGGTGTGAAGTATAAGGAGCTTTGTTCAAATGTGAATAGGACTCTTTTGCTAAATGCGAAGACGCAACATAAGGAGTTGTATAGCTTCACTTTGGCTATTGAAAAGTATGTGATTAAGGAATGCCTGCAGGTGCAGAGTACATATGCAGATGTGTATAAAAAGGCGCTTAGTTTTGTTAAGACAAGTAAAAAGGATTATTCTACTTTGAGTGAGATAAATGTGGAAGATTATTTTGTCAAGTGCCTTGGACATGTGATTGGTATTGAGTTCATGGAGAAGGATTTTTTAATAACGGAAAATAATACAAGTGGAATGATTCAGAAGAATACTTCTTATAATTTATCGGTTGGATTTGAAAATGTGCCTGAGAATGACAAGAACAATTTTGCCATATGGATCAGCGATACGGTGTGCATTAATGACGCGGGGGAGGTCAATGTACTTACGGACTCGATTAGTAAAGAAATAAATACCATTTCGTATGAATTGGAGGATAGCAAGAGTGAAGAGGAGAATGATACTAAGGTGAAGAGTGAAAAGAAGGAACAAAATGGAGATTATAAAAAAGAGAAGACCGGAATTTCTGCTAGCATTTTAAACAATGCAGCTAGTGTTATTGTGTCAGATAGGTTAAGGAGGAGAAATAAGAATTCCCTCGCTCATAACAATGAACAAGAAATGGAAGAATTAAACAAAAGACAAAGTGAACTTAAGGAGAAAAAAATGAATGAAATTAAAATTCGATTTTCCAAAGGAACAAGTGATTACAAGGATCCAAATAAGAAAAATGTGAAAAAGTTAGAAGATGTAAAAGCGTACAATGATGTTGATATGCTTCCTAGAGATTTGAGGCCAAACATAATATGTGTTGATAATAAGCATGAATGTATTTTACTTCCAATCAACGGGGCACATATTCCATTTCATGTTTCCACGATAAAAAATTTGAGCTCGAATTATGAAGACAATAATGATATATTCGTGTTGCGTATAAATTTTCAAGTACCAGGAGGGCAAGGGGTGTTGAAAGGCGATTTCAATACATTCCCCACTCTGCAGGAAAAGGAAATGTATATAAAGGAGTTGATATTTAAATCGAATGATGAAAGGCATTTTCAAAATATTGTTAAACAGGTGAAGGATCTTATAAAGCATGTGAAGCAGAAGGAAGTGGAAGCGGATGTGAATGATCCCCAACATGCTCAGGAAAAATTAATATTGAACAAAAGTGGAAGAAGAATTATGCTGAGAGATCTTATGACCAGACCCAATATATTCACAGGAAGAAAAATATTAGGAACGTTGGAGCTACACACAAATGGGGTCAGGTATTCTGCAAATTCTCGAGGAACGACAGAATATATTGACATCCTTTTTGATGATATAAAATATGCCTTTTATCAGCCTTGCGATGGACAATTAATTATTTTAATTCACTTCCACTTGAAGAGGTATATTATGGTTGGAAAGAAGAAGACGCTGGATGTGCAATTTTACTGCGAGGCAGGAACCCAAATTGATGACCTCGATCGAGCCAAGGCAAGGAATGTGTATGACCCAGATGAAATGCATGACGAAATGAAAGAAAGGGAACAGAAAAATCGACTCAATTTAATTTTTAAAAATTTCGTACAACAAATGCAAGATATTTCCAAAATAGAATTCGAAATTCCCTATCCTGAATTGACCTTTTCTGGAGTTCCAAATAAAAGTAACGTGGAAATTTTTGTAACAGCAAATACGATTAATCACCTTGTGGAATGGCCACCTTTTATCCTGTCCGTGGAAGATATTGAAATTGCTTCCCTCGAAAGAATACACCATGGGTTACGTAACTTCGATATGATTTTTGTATTTAAGGATTACACCAAGCCTGTGAAGCGTATTGATGTGATACCCACTGAGTATATTGACACTATTAAGAAGTGGCTGACCACCATTGACATTGTGTACTATGAGGGGAAGAACAACCTTCAGTGGGGAAATATTTTGAAGACCATTTTGGCCGACATTGACTCGTTCGTTGAATCGAAGGGGTTCGACGGGTTCCTTGGCGACGATGACGAGGAGGATGAGCAGTCTGCCGAGGATGAGGACGACGACGACGAGTACGAGCTGGACGAGTCGGAGATGGTGAGTTGAAGCGAAGGGGTTGCGGCAGCAAACGCGTAGTGGCAGCGAAGTGGTGGTGCCAACTACAGTGCGAAGGTCGCAATTGGACTGAGAACAAGACACAATCACCCCATTTTTTTTTTTTTTTTCTTCATCACATTTTCTCACCTTTTTTTTTGTCCACATTTTCCGCCCCACTGCAGAGCGCCGAGGACGACAGCGACTACGATGACAGCGAAGACGAGAGCCTCGCCACGGAGAGCGACGGGGAAGGGGAAGTCGAGGAGGACTCCGACGACGAGGGACTCTCTTGGGACGAGCTCGAGGAGCGGGCCAAAAAGGGTACGCTGGGGAATATGAGCTTACGCGATTGGCTGATCGGCGAATGGACCAATAAGACCCACTATGATAAACTCCTTTTAACCGCTTTTTTTTTTTTTTTTTTTTTTTTTTTTTTTT